TAGGCCTACCCTTACTTGGGCTAGTTTCTGGCGCACTGTTGGCTCCCCACGCCAGCCTTGCTGGCGCATCAAGGGCGCGGCGGCCCAGCCTTTTTCCAGAAAATTCTGACAAATTTTTCTTCTTAATGTTTTGCCCTAATTCACCTAGAGTCGATTGATTTCTTCCAAACTCTCTTAGATTCCTATACGCAACATAAGTAAACAAAAATCTATTTAAATCTCCTCGAGAATAACCCTCAAACTCAAAATCCTCGCCTCATGAACTCATCAAAACCCCATTTACATAGTATGAAGAACAAAACCTCAAGAAATTCATCAAGAACCTCAATACATGGATTTTCATGGATGAAATTTAATCAAGAAACTCATGATTGGAGTGAGGGTGAACGAACCCATCACTATGAAAGCTTACAGACCTCGTAAGGATCAAATCCTTGCTGAAATTCCTCGAAGATCGCAAGAATCTTGAACGAACGCTTGAACTTTTCATTTTTCTCCTCTTGAACTTCTCTCTAAAACCCTAAGCGTGTTTAGGAATTGTGAAAACTGATCTCAATCGGTTTAGACCCCTATTTGGGTAAAAAAAAACGTGTGAACTTAGTGGTGTATGGAAAAGACCTAAATACCCCTCCACAAATTTGGATGAATTTCCTTCATCGGATGGGCTGAATTCAAACAGACATATCTCTCTCATCCGAACTAAGAAGTTAGCAAACTCGGTGGCATTGGAAAGATGACTCAAAGATCTTTCATTTGATATCTCATGAGCCATCTAAATCATCCTATGCTGAAAGTTATGATTGTTTGAAGTTGACCCAAAACTCACAATTGAAGACTAACTTGCACAAATCTCTAATTGGCTCTTTCCAATTTAGCTCTTTCTAAAATTAGCTCTTTCTAAGAACGAGTTGTTGCATATTTGGTGATATATTAATGATTATTATTATATGTATTTTGTGGGAACAAATGTCAATTGTGTAGGAAAGGAGAAAATGTGGTATCTGTGGCAACATATATAACATTTGTTGTAAAAAAATCACACAATTATCTGCATGTGCCCCAATAGAAAGATGATATATGGCAACATATATAGCCTCTGTTGTAAAAAAAAATCACACAATTATTTGAATGTGCCCCAACAGAAAAAAGATATGTGGCAACATGTCACTTTGAATTGCCATATGTTGCAACATTTTATTGTCAAAATTCAAAAAAAAATTGAAAAGGTTGATAACAACTGTCATTTTCTCTCTCCTTTGTAAAAAGGTCGTTTCATATTCTAAAATTCAATTTACTTATCTTTTCATTTTGTATTTCCTTTTTTCCTTCCATCTCTCTTGTTTCTACATTGTTCTTCACATATCCAATTGTTGTTGCGATATTTTCTACAACATAAGTGTAATCTATTGCCGTTTCTCTTTCTCCAAAATAGTTCCAGCGCATCGTTATTGCCTTCTTTCCTTAATTTATCATCGATATCTTCTCAGGTAAAATTTAATTAGGATTTTGAAATATTTGTTGGTATTAACTCAGGACGTTTTTAGTGATTAATCACTTATTTGTTTGTAGGCTAGTTGGTTTGGTTGGTTTTTATTCCTTCTGAAATATTATATGGTTTCAAAAAGCTTCAGTTTATAGTTGGTTGGTTAGGGTTTAGGGAGGATTCTGTGGTTTGTTGGTTGATTCATGTGTGGTATTGAATAGTATTTGGGATTTTCTAAGGGGTGATGTATTGTTGTTTGTGTTGTTGTGTGTTGTGTGTTGTGTGTTGTGTGTTGTATTGTTGTGCTTGGTTGTTGTTATTTTTTTTATAACCGAGAAATCTGTCTGTGACCCGCCCTTTGGACCAATCACAGCCTTCTAAACTCGGTGGATAATGGACCCGCCCCTCTACCCTTCTCCACTTAAATACCGGGCATCGCTCTGCATGGTGTGGGGCTTGAACCTGCGACCTAAGCCACAAATCCTCCACCTTTTGCCACTCGAGCTAGGCCTTGGGGCATTTGGTTGTTGTTATTTTTGTTAAGAAATATTTGATTTTATGGTTGCAGATACAAAATATAATGCCTCATGTCAAAAGAAAACTTGTAGTAACAACTGAAACAACTGACACAAAGATCCAGAAGAAACCTAGAAGTAAACTTGGTAGAAAGAAGAATGAAAATACCAGTTTCACTCTTTTAGAAGAGCTTGCATATGAAGTAGTTTCTTCTTCTCAAGTAGAATCAAAATCAGGAGTTTCTTCTTCTAACAACAAAAAAATGAGGATGATGATGACAGAAAAGATAATAATGAAGGTGATGATGTGGAAGAAAGAGAAGAAGAAAAAATTCAGTCCTCACTAATAAAATCTTACTGAGCTTTACTTCCCCTTTTCAAGCAAAAGTGAAAGTAGAGAGTTCAACTAATGTTTGCAATCATTGATTTTTAGATTAAACCTTGAAGTTAGCAATAGATTCATGCATAATACTTGAGTTTAGAACTATCTAATCACTACCCATTAAAGTTTACACCCACATCATGCATACGTATACCTAGAAAGGAATTTAGCTACTCATAAGTGAAGAAATAGAGACTATAACATAAGAGTAACACTCCATTTCATTCAAATTCAGCAACTAAAATTAGATCCAAGGCTTGAAGTATCACAAATTTGTGTTTTCTTATTCAACAAGTAAAAGAAAAGTATATTGTTCTCTATTTGGTTCTACAATGTCTACTACACTAATTATTAATAGATCGATTTTCATGTTAGTTCTTGCTCCAGCATGAAAGTTCCATTTCAGGGAAGGACGACATACAATGATACTTTCCGTTTTGTCGAGTCCTACTTTGGTCTCTAGTTTGATGGTTGTACGTGCTAAAAATCTAGAATATCACTGGGTTCTACAATGTCTATATCCAATAATTATAGAATATCCCAATTGGGGAAGATGATACTAGTACAAAATTGCACATATCCCTGAAATATCCCTGGAACCTTCCTACCTTCTACCTTCATATTTTCATTTTTTCAACTTCAACCAAATATTTCAATACTACTAAACCTTTGTTTTTGGCATTAGTTTTGAGAATGAGTATCTAATTATTGAATTTGAGTATGACAACTTTAAGTTGATTATTTAAATACTGGTTTAACTGTGTATTTCAAGTAAAATATTGGTTTCAACTTTCATAATGTTTGCTGTGACATCAAATTAAAACATTTAATCCAAAATCTTTATGAGATTCTTGTGCTTCCAAAAGATTGAAATTGCCTGCAACTGCATCTTCATTTACTACATTGAATGGTTTTCTGCAGTATTCAGGGCAGGCATAATATCAGCTGCAGTAGAACTCAATCAATACAAAGTGCACCTTGTCAATTGATTTTCTTGACAAATTTTAGCCAGTACAACATGTTATTCTTCCTCCGTTTGTCATGTGTTTTTTTCTTTTCAGGGTGGCTAAATGAATATACTCGCTGTTTTTGCACCACTGGTTCACACTCAGTGTTGTCATACGGGAAAAGAGGTCAAATGGCAAGGCAAGGTCAAATACACAGAGTATAGCTCACATCCAAACATCTGATTGGGGAACGGGGCAACACCCATGAAGCTCCGGTGGAAAGGGAAGGCTCACTTTGACAAAATGATCACATCTTTAGAGTAGACTTCTTAAACATGTTTAGGAAAGAATAAGTAATTATGTTAACTAGTTGGAGATAGCAAGTTTTTAAACTGAAGGACTTGTAAAAAGGTAGAGGTGACAGTGGAAAAGAGTTTTTAAACTAGAAGAACTCTTTGCAATCCAATGCTTAATTATGCATTGTTGGCTTGAATGTATCCACCACGAGTCAAGGGACCAAGTCCTTGACTAGGAACAACTAAGAACAAAGAAGAAGAACATATCAGAAAGTAATCAACACACGATATTTGCATGGAAACCTCCTTGCTCAAGAAAGGAAAAAGTCACGGCCGTAGGTGAATACCAACAACGTCACTAAACACAAAGGTTTCAGATTACAAACTCTTGCAACCTGGGATTGAATTCTTAATCCCTTCCCCCGAGCAACAACTCTATTGCAAAATTCTAGTGTAATTACTCTATTGCTCTCTTACTATACCAACTAACTCTAGTTGATATAGATTCCAACAATACACCACGGCTAACTCTAGCCAACAACTCAAATCTAAAAGATAAGGAGAAGAAACAATACCTATACAAGCTTCATAAATAAGAGTAGATTTATAATGTTTAGCACAAGAACCAAGACCGAACAACAAAGAATAAAGGAACAACTTCGATAGATAAGAGCAGGTCCCTTATAGTTCAGGTGTTCATGATGTGGAAGTTAAGACAGCCCATACTTCAGAGAAAACAGCAATATTTTTCAGTGTTGCAAAAGTTTTGGTTTTGCTCTTTCAAGTCTTCTTATCAATGAGAGAGGGAGAAAGGGAAAAACCTTAACCTCTTCTCATTGGTAGGTCCTGCTGCTACACTGCCATACCACTTTGCCGCACTGTGCAGACACAGTACACTTTACAGTTATGCTATTTGACTTGGCGAAAATGCTTTAGAGGAGGTACCAGGTCCCTTCATCAAGTTTGTCAATCATCAAAATTGATTTTCCAACGTTATAACATTTTCCCCTTTTTGATGATGACAAACTATGCAATCATTTCAGCAAACACTTTGAAGACAAACATGTTCCCCCCGTCACACGTTCCACCTATCTTCATTTAGCAGCAGTTCCCCCTATCAGTCAGTTCCCCTTGTCTCCATTATGCACTTTTTGCACCATATGCTTCAGTGTTTTACAATATATAGTCTCATATAGGAGTAACATTTATGTAAAACCATACAACTTGACTTTATAAAGAACACAAACAACAGAATCTCTACCTTTGCAGGGTAGAGAGGTTGGCTCCAATAGATTCTCGAAGGTAATCAAAGTAGGATTGCAAGCAAAATATGACAGAAAAAATATCAAGATAGAAAGAAAGCAAATGAAGCAACAGAAGAACAATTTGACTTTGAAATTTCCAACAAAGGTATACTAATTAAGAGGACAATTTGACACTGAAATTTGCAACAGAACAATCAGATTTAGCACATTCAAATTAGACTTTGGCCCTAGAAAAGTCATATTAGTCTAGATATAGCAGTAAGCACCTGAGATAGTATATAAAAACAGGCAGAGGAGGCAACATTTTTGAAAGCCCTCCAAAAGAATCCGGACAGATAGTGCTGATGATCAAACTGGCTTCTGAATCTGAGATGCATCACATTCGAGAAAAAAACTAGGGCACCAGTTACGAAAACCAACAAAATCCAAGCTTTTCTTGCCATGATTTTTTTAAATAAGGAAGCAAAGCAAATAATAACAATAGAACCAAGTATAAAGATTCCATCTTTATCCCCTTGATAGATTGATTGAAGGAAAAGGAGCAGATTCCCTAACACCACTGAACTCTGAGAAATGGTTGCCTGCATCAGAAAAGACAGTCAAAACTCTAATTAGTTAGAGCTAGATTGAGCAAATAAAGACGCTTCTCTTACCCATGGAATTAAATCAATTTATCGGATAACCGAAACCCCTAATATTTAATTTGCTGCAAATCATAAGGCTAAAATTTTCCATGTTACCTTGTTCTTTGGTTTGGAACTGGTGACTCTGTTGTTCTTGGAACGTCGGCGGCGGAGTCTCTGGAGGAATCCATGGAGTTTTGATTTGAAAGATCTAGGTTTCTGGGGATTCGGAGAGATGAATGTTTGAGAATTGAGATGGATGAAGAATCTGCAGCAGTTGAATTTGAGAGAGAATGGAAAATACTTGGAATTGGGTAAGAAATTTGAAGCTACCAATTTGAAATTGAAGTTCTTGGCCTTGGCATGAACATTCAGTTTCCATGAATGGTGTTGCTGTTGCTGTTGCCCTGCTTCCATTCTCAGGGAACTTGGTTTACTAGCCGTTACAACAATTTTAAATCCATTCCCATTTGTTTGATTAATTGTGCTTTAGTTATTTTATTGACGAGATGAGATGCGATCTAGGATTTGAATTTTATGTGTACAATACTAATCATTAATATTTCCTTTCATAAAAATACAATTGATACTTTAGTTTCTAAGAATTATACAAAATCAAAATAGTGCTTAATTTCTTTTTTCAAATTTACCCTTGACATATTTCAAATACAATGTACAAATTTAATAATGAGTATGTCAATCTAAAGAGAGAAAGTAATAATTAAAGGTATTTTGGTCAAAACTCTTCTTTGTTTTTAAGAGTGAGTTAATCAATTATTTGGACCAAAGGAAAACTATATTAAAAAGAAAAAATTACACAAAATATTTATTGTGTCAAAATAAAAATTACCTAAACTAATCTAATTATTATTTATTATTAAAAAAATAGACATTCGATCTTCCTTCATCCCTCACTCTTTTCCGACAAGCAAAGGGTTTGTCTGGCTTTCTAAAAGATAAAAGAAAGAATATTTTTAATTTTTAATTTGCAATCACAGAAAGTCATAAACCATGTCAAGATAGGATTAGGACTCGACTAATCAATTTCCTAATTAGGGAGTAATCGATTAAGTTAATTCTAGTTAAATCAATATCCTACTCAAATAATACTAATTAAGACCATTATATATATTACGTACCTACACATGTAAGACACATATTTCTAATTGACAAAAGCAAATTGAGTTAATACGGCGATGGCAAATTTATCTGAAGAACTTGATAATTTCACCATGTGGTATAATTTAAAAAAGTGTAGATGTGAGTCTTGTCAACAATGGTTCTATTCACAACTATGTCAAAATGTATCCAATTTACAACAACGTCAACGTCAATCTGATTCCTATTCATATTCGTGTAGAATTTTGAAGAATTCTCCAAACTTGTTATCTTTTCTTGAAGTCGATAACTCCTTCTTTTTGCCCTGGAATAGGAATTGGAATTTGAAGCAATCCATGAGCTTCGAATATGGTAGTTCCTTTTTTGAAAATTTCGACAGCTTTAAATCAAATATGTTCTAGACAAATAGTTCACTTGTTATTTTTTCTTCCTTTAGACATGTTCTTTTGGAGAAAGTATTGTATTAATTTGATTTTCTGCTTCTTCTTTTTTAACATAATATTGACTCATAGTCATCTGCAAATAATAGAATTTTACTAATTTATTATCATTTAATTTTAAGCAAATTCAATACCCATTGTTTGGTCATAGTCATCCGCAAGCAAAACAAGCAAAATATTATCGCAACTTATTTTAATTAATCATCTATTTTGTTTTTATTCAAATCAATTTTTTTTACTTTATTCATGACTTTAATTACCTCCTCCAATGTGAGACTTTCCGATGCGAATTTAAATTTAGTCAGATTTCACTATAGATACTGAATATTGAATAGGAAATAAAAAAAGAAGATGATGATTTTAGGATTTAACATTTAAAGGATGGAAGATAATAAATAGTAGTACTAATATATATAGTTCAATTACAAGCAATCAGAATAAAAAATAAATAAGAAATTCCAACACACAATAGAACACTGACACTAAAAAGAATATGCAGAAAATTAAAGACATAAATAAGAACAACATCAAGTTCAACAAAGGATTTGAAAAGGATGTTTTAACACATAACATCTAAAATATCGTCATAAACACTACAATCATAATGCCATTATATAAGAATATAATTAATCAACTTTTATTTAAAAAAGGGCAAGTAATGAACATAAGATAATTTGAAAGATTTTTAACATAAATTGTAAATTTTGGACCATTATCTAAAATCTAATTTCACGTATTATATTGTAAAATTATTTTTAAAGTTGGTCAAGCGGGGACGGAGCTTTACATGCAGGGGTGAGTGAACTACACACATGGTAGAAGAGATTTAAAAATCTTCTTTTGATTGAATTTAAGGGTCCAGTTGAGGAAGAGTTAAGTAGAAGGGTTCATAATACAAACTTGTACAATAGTACAACGGTCCATCAAACTATTTCGTCTTATATTTTTACAATGTAAGTTACTATACTTTTATGAAATTTCCTTCTTAGGAATACTTTTTGTTTTTAATTTGTTGTTTTAAAATGTCTTTTTTTACAATTCTTTAATTTTAACTTTTTGTATGACAATTTATAATGTAAAAAATTAAGATAATTTTTTGGAACTACAAAAATCCTAGATTTTTAGGAAAGTTTCTACAATAATCTAGTGTAGTCACTTGGATAAGTATTTTGTAGAAATATCTAGATAATCTAGAGTAGAAGATAATGTTACTAGATTTTCCTTGTAGATGTTCTAGAGAAATTAGATATTTGTAGAGAATCATGGAATAGTCTAGATTTTGTAGTATCTAGAACCATCCATAGGTTAATTAGTATAAATATGAGATGGTATTGTACATTTGTAACCAACCAAAGCAACCCAAGAACAACTCAAATCAAATAGTCTTCTTCTATAACAAAGTTCTATATCCAAAATACTTTTTCTCCCTTCTAGTTTCCTCTTCTTTAGTTGAGTCTTCTGATCTTAGTTAACAATCTTGGACTAGCAAAAGGTTCCCCGCTTATATTTTTTTTTCTGTTATTCTCTACATGGTATCAGAGCCATAGCCGTAGATTGGCTTGTTGGTGTTATTTTAAGATCGGGTTGCTAGTAGATTACGATATTGGACAGAATCTATGAAAGATATAAAATTATTAGAACAATTAATGGAGGAAAATTTATATATGTACCAAAAAACCCAAGATATGTTATATCTAGAATATATCATAAATAATATTAAAGAAATATTCAGATTAAAACAACTATCGGAAGAATATTACAATAAATATTACTACATTTTACCATGAGTTTCGCACCGAAAAATATTAAAATAAATTACTCACCTACCACACTACCACTTTCATGAATTCCACAACTACCAGTTCCATATGGATAACGAGAAACTAAGGAAGAAACATACTAGTAGAAAGTTAAGAAAAATAAAAAGAAAATTAAAGAAATTATATCCGGAATATAAAAAACTCAATATCACAAAAACTGAGAACGACAAATTAGATCAATTAGTACAAAAAATAATTAACTCAAATGAACAATTAGACACAAAAAAGAAATTACAATCATTCTTAGGACTAGTAAATCAAGTAAGAGAATACATACCAAAATTAGCAGAGAATTTAAA